CTACGAGTCATTGGTGTTTTTCCCTTTCTAATCAGAAACAGCAGACAGATGCCATCAGACATTGTATGAATCTGCTGTTGAATGTGTGTGGCGACACAGATCAGTAGTCCATGTCTGAATATCAGAGTGTTTGCGCAAAACCGTCAAGAAACCTCTTCTGAAAGGTTACTTCAAAAATGAAAAATGGCCATTTTATTCATTTAATGTTTGCACAAGCACAATTTAAGATTGATTGCATTCAGAACTCACAAAGCGGCAAAAAAAAATTATTGTAGTTCTGCTTGCATGGTAAATTCTTACTTGTTTACACTTCGGTATCGGTGTTGTCGGCCACACTTGGCTCTACCAAGCTGCACGCAGGGCTCATTCAAGCAGTCGGGCCCACAGTCTGCTGCTCTGAAAGGGCTCCCATGCTCTTTATTCACTGAGGAGCCAGAGGTGTCAGAAATATAGACACGCTTTCACGTGATGGAGACTTTGCCAGTCTTTTCTCCCTCGCTCTTAAGCCTGGCATTCTGTCTGCACATACAGGTATTGAAGGGCTCTGTGAATAGTGTCAAACTTCATAGTTCTCATTTTGCTTCCTGTACATGCAAGGAGAAAAGTGCAGTGTTTTCCTTTGTGATCCCTCTCTGGCCTATTTTTAAATTTTTTTTTCTTGAAGCACCATATTTAAGGCACAGTCGCTCGCTTTGTCTATGGGCCATTGTGCATTCGTCTGTTGCGTAGATCACCCTCGTAGTTTTTGTTGTCCTAATGTATGCAGGCAAGGCTAAGTCTAGACTACTTTTTTTTCGTCTTTCATTTTTTCCCCCTCTTATTTTGCAGGACAATGGCAATATATTTTTTTTCAGTATTACCAAAAAATATTTTAAGATCTTATTCGGCCTGAAGGAAGAGTAGATAAGGAACAACTAATTATGTAATATTATATTATTTATTAATAATAATAATATTTTTCTTCATCAGTTCTCAACCAGAATTGTGTATGTGTGTTCATCAGACATTGAAATTAAGTCTCCCATGTCTGTTTAGTAGGGGTGTAACGATACATGTATTTATACCGAACCATCACGGTACGGACATCCCTGTTCAGTGCATGAGGCTTTACAACGAATACAGGCAATACACCCTCAATCCAGAAGGTGGCGCCCGCAGTAATGCAATGCTGTTTGATAACCCGAACAGCGAATGCCATGAGTTGCGCACTTGAAAACAAAGCCCACTAGACCGTGACCATGTGCTGATTCTGAATGCGTCTCTCACTGACAAAGGAGTATACTTTAAAGGGATAGTTCACCCAAAAATTAAAATTCTGTCATTAATTGCTCACCCTCATGTCGTTCTAAACCCGTAAGACCTCCGTTCATCTTCGGAACACAAATTAAGATATTTTTGATGAATTCTGAGAGCTCTCTGACCCTCCCATAGACAGCAATGTAATTACCCCGATCAAGGTCCAGAAACGTAGCAAGGAGATCGGTAAACTAATCCATGTGACATCAGGGGTTCAACCGTAATTTTACGAAGCTACGAGAATACTTTTTGTACTCAAAGAAAACAAAAATAACGACTTTATTCAAAAATTAATCCCCTCCGTGTCACCCTGGTGCCATTTTGGAGAATATCCACTGAACGTGTGGAAATAGTGTGTGCTATTCTGTGTCAGCTTTGATTTGAACGAAAACAACATATCAGCGGAGGTCTTACGGGTTTAGAACGACATGAGGGTAAGTAATTAATGACAGAATTTTCATTTTTGGGCGAACTAACCCTTTAAAGGCTTGCGCACTCAACTGTTTGCAAAATGGAGCTTTGTGCTCGTGTATCCTACCTCTGTCATTCGGCACAAATCCAAATAGTCCATAATATTTCCATAGTTGCGATGTATCCAAATGCTAAACTATTATTTATTATGTAGGCTTTGTACTTCAGTCGTGTGATGTTTGGTTCACTGTATTTTATTTTGATAAAGTACCAACTGCGCTGTCAAGTTAGCAATGCTGGAACTGATATCTTTTGTGTGTGTGTGTGCATGCCGGCGCGATCACTTCAACTGTTTCCTTATACCAGCAAAATAATGCATCACTGTATAAGGTCTACTTTTATTTGTGTACACTCACAATGAAAACAAAACATTGTGCTTTTGTAAAATAAAGAAAACAAATAGGATGTCGCTTTCTGCCATTTGAGTTTCCTTTCTGTGAACAAATTAAGCGTGTCACAAAAATGAACTGAAACTCAGCACATATAGGCTACGTTACGTGTCGCACTGTTTTTTCCCTGTTTTTCCCACTGTTAACTAACTCAAATATATTTCAAGTATTTATTCCTCGTATGTATATATGTACTGCAGATTTTATATTTATAACATTATAATTTAATATAATATTTAGTATTTTCACATCTAGGTGGAAAAAAATGTGTAATTTCTATTACTGTATGTTCAAAATAAATGAAAAGAACCTAGCATAGTAGATTTGTTGTTTTTTCCTGTTGTACCGAAATCGTACCGAACCGTGATCCCCGAACCGAGGTACATACCGAACCGTGACATCTGTGTACCGTTACACCCCTACTGTTTAGACTAATAGTCATTCTGCTCAGCAGCGTCTTTGAACAAGACCCCTTTGCGCTGAACATTTTCAACAAAAAGATTCATTTTCATGTTGAGATATTTGCCATTTAAATGCTCAAGCCAACTGAATTTGATACTAAGGTTAGATGCACATCATGGAAAGTTCTGACATTTTGCTTAATCTTTGTTGCCACGGAGTTACTGGTGTGGATCAGAGCTAGCGATTAAAGTCATCTTTGACAAAGTTTTATAAGACTTGCTCATTACGAAGTCTTAACATCTTTTTCCCCCTTTCACTAAAGTCGTCCCGTTAAAACGGAGCGTATGGTACTGTATGTTCTTCCCTGCCTGCTTGAGTGTCACGTGAAGACTTTGTGTAAACCAGAGTGTTTGGCAGGCTTTTGTTCGCAGTTCATGCTAAAGAACCTCTTTTATATGAATCAAGTGGCAGATGACAGACAATGATGAAAATTTGATTCTTTGAAGTTGTAATGGCCATTGAAATGTGTGAAGTTCCTGCATTGAAAGGGGAGCTGCTTGTAGGATTCACAACCTTGGGTGGCTGCTTGCTGGGAGGTTTGTCTGTGTGTTGTTGCCGACTTCCCATTGCTGCTCGCTAATTCCCAAAGGAATTGGGCTCTCTTTGCCTTTCAGCAGTCTCCTTCAGCTCAGCAGCACCACACTGGAGTCTGGGACCGTGCAGCATGTTACACACACATTTTTCAGATAACCTTCTTAAAACAGTCCTCTCTTGTTCGTTTTATACAAAAAAACCATGAGCAGTGTTTAAGTATTATTTGTGCTCTGGGTATTTGTTTTTGCTGGTATCCGTACAGATATCCTGACTGAATTGTAAATCACAAGATCTTGATTCGATTTGATTCCATATTTATTCTGATTTGTTTTGGTATGTTTTAGTTATATTAAAAGCACCGGCTCGTAAGAGTCATTCGTCGTGACTCAGACTACAGTGGTTACATTGTTTATTCTTTTTTGGGGGGGCCATGGCATTACGGATTCATTGAAATGCAGTTTAGAAACACTGACACATGGAACTAACTTGATACATAAACAAAAATATTCATTTTGATACTGTGCAGTTGAGCGAGTTCAGTTCAGCGGTATATACAGGATGAAAGCACGGCATAAATACATTTTCACGCCAAAAAAATAGACTTAAACTAGAAGATCGATCTTGGTATAATAAAAATCCGTTTCAATCAATTAGATTGTTCAAATGACGATTAAGTGCACCATAAAAATATCCTTTGGTTTGCCAGAACTTTACCATAAAAAAATATATGGTGACAATGTTTCAGGTATTGTGAAATGGCATATTTTACACCTTATAATTGTATATTTCACTAAGTTATATAATATAAATACACCAATTTACTAAAAGTATTCAAATCTACTTTTTAACATAAAATGTACTGATAACCACCGTAATAATACAGGCAGTACAATAAATAGCCATATAAAACATGGCCAGTGCACTTATGTAGACTGTACAGACAAAACACCATCAGGGTAACACATGCAACACTATAATAAAGCAATAAACAGCAAAACTAAACTAAATAACTAAATATGTAAAACAAAACATCCTAATGTACTAATTCATGATAACAAAATTAAGCAGAAACTAAATTATTTAGATAAAATATAATCAAATGTGATGTCATGCAAGGACATCTGGGAATGCCTGTTTTTCATTGTAAATTACTCAATTCATAGTTTTTACTTGCAAAAACACAAATTTCACTGTATTTTAAGGTACAATTACATGTAATGCAATATAATTCCATTTAATGTGTTAAACCATATACAATTTTTGTTTACCGTATATGGTAAATTAATTTAGTATTTTGACAGTATTTTTCTGTAATTTTTTCTTTACAGTTTGGTAAATTGATTTTTTTCCCCCCCAGCCCTAGTATTGATGGGTTTTAACAACTTAGTTTAAATACATTGGGTACGACTCTGGAATCATATCGTTGCCAGTAGAAAAATTCAATCCAGCAATGAAGACTGATGCCTTGAATGATTCACCTGCTCGGAGCGAACACTTTAAGTTTAATGTACTATTCGCTTCAAGTTTGCAGAGTTCTTTTCACCTTCACACCTGAAAGCCCAGGTTTCTGACCTGCAGTGAGGATCACAGTAGACTGTCTCGATGCATTTTGAGAGTGTGAGAAATTAGCTTGTCTAGACAAGTACGCGTCTGCATTCAAGAAAGGAAGTATTTGGGCTTTTATGCCCTTTGGGAGAACAGCAAAGCTTTTTATGCTTTTTTTATGAGAGCACGAATGTGAATCTTATTTTTGGCAAACCACACATTAATGCTTGGGTTTTGATGAAAAGATTTGCCCTATGCACTCATAGTTTACCAGTTCTTCTTTCGTCTCCCTCATTTTGCCAGGACATCACTACTTTGACTGGCGTTCCCGAGGAGCATATTAAGACCCGCAAGGTCTGTATCTTTGTGCCCGCCCGCAATGCCATGCAGTCTGGCGTCAAAAATACCCAAAAGTGGAAGATGGATTTTGACACCAGGGAACGCTGGGAGAACCCACTGATGGGCTGGGCCTCCACGTGAGTGGACATCATAATAATCATGCTTTTTGAACTGCCAAAAAATAAATCCAATGTCTGAAGTGATTTTTATCCCCAATCCAGGGCAGACCCCCTGTCCAACATGGTGCTTACGTTCAGCACTAAGGAGGACGCTATCACTTTCGTAGAGAAGAACGGTAATCCATTTAAACATTTTTCCACTATCGTGACCATATTTTTTAAACACTACAATCATCCCATCAGAATTGCATCCAAAAATGTCCCTTGAGGGAGCTGAAGCTCCGCTTTGAAAAGGAGCTGTGTTTGTGTTTGTGGCATAAAGATTCACATTTATCCTCACCCTGTCTTCTCCGGCCTGGTGTTTACACTGCACATCAGCAGCAGTGGACATCTCCCAAATCCAGCCTCTAAGATATACTTGGCTGACCGTGCTCTGGGCCTGTTTATTTTTACAGGTTGGAGTTATGATATAGCAGAAAAGAGGGTCCCAAAGCTGAGAGTGAAGTCATATGGAGCAAACTTTTCCTGGGACAAAAGGACTAGAAGGTCGGCCAAGTAGACATCCCGTTTCTGCCTGTCTGTGTTATCTTTAACAGACCTGTAAAAAATCATATACTCTATGTATCTAATAAACTATCTTTACAACTCTTGAGTTTTACTGTGCTTCTGGATGTTACTTCACTCAGAATCATTGGAATGACACCATATCTGTGCTAGTGTGAGTATTTAGCACTTATTATTACTGAAGTAGCTGCTGTTGTTTGTGCTAGCCGTGTGCTTTGAAATGCCATCTCTCTTGTTTCCTCAGAAAATAATTCTTCTTGTCAGGTGGTTCGTTTTTCCACCCTTCAAACCCTCTTGAAGACAGTTTAGTGTTAATGTTTCTGAAACGGGAGGATGAGGTAAATGTCAAGCTTCAAAGACTGAACGCGGCTAGATACGTTTACTCTCATGCTCCTCCAGGGATGAGCCCAGATGAGTAAAACACCTGCCTGCTTCAAATGACGTTCAATTGAAAAAGCAGTGACCGTTTTACTCTGTCATCTCTGCTAGCACATGAGCGGTCAGTACTACACTTTCCATGTTCATTTTACATCACATTACAAATCTGCATTGCCTGGAATCGTTAAAACGTGGTTCATGAATGAATCATTGATGTGACAAGGTTTATCTAATTGATCTGGACATGACACCATTGCCTTATAAATGGCCTATGTGAAAAAAAAAAAAAGATTTTATACATTTGTTTCCAAAACTGATAACAGAGCAAAGCCACACCAGATAACTTCATGAGGAGCTTTGCATAATAGGAAAGAGCAATGTTTGGAGTCTGGAAGCATTACAGGGGCTCAGTGATATGATGTGAATTTTGTGATTGGGTGAGGTCAGGCTAGAGCCTTTCAGCCAAAATGCAGTGCAATTTCAGCTTTATCAATAGGTAGTAGGATCGTGTGTGATTGATTTCTGATGAGGAAAAGAGAACCAGTTTGTCTGTAAAAACAAGCTTTGTAGGGAGTTTAACAATTGATTGCTCTGAGATAGAAGCCCAGACTTAAAGTTAGGTCCTTATGGGAATATTTGAGCTTAATTTAGTTCAGTTGATATCCCTACTAGTTGAAGTGTGGGGAAAAAAGATGTGGGTTTTCTGGCAGTAGATTCATGATGTCAGTTAAAAACGTTTTATGTAATGGCCTTAAGGCTTAAGCAGTAGAGCCGGGACACTTTGATTACATACAGAATAATGAGAATAATAATAAATAGATGGGTGCATGGTATCAGCTAATGGCAGAACTCAATTCTTAATATAATCCACACCACAGTGACCATTTGATAAGTATTTTTTTTTATTGATTTCACTCTTAATATCTGTACAAATACATCAAACTTTGTATATACATATGACATTTACATAAAAAATACAAAACTATATATTTATAACTGAATTTAGTTTTTTATCTTGAGATGTCTGAAAATAAAAATGCATTTTGACAACAAAGTGAAAAAGTGAATGTTTTATATATTGATACTGAGTCCTCTTAATGAGCTTTTCTTTAGCTCTGCAAGAGCAATATAGAGCAGAATATTGGCAAGAAAAAAAAAAAGACAAAGTTGCATGGCACAGTTTTCTCGAACAAGTATAACCCACTGCTAATTTCTGCCCTATTGTCAGAAAGTCAAACTGTTGCTGTTGATGAGGACGGCATTTTGTACAAGTGACTCATCAGGGGTTTCCTATATGAGAAACAGCTCATTTTCAATGTTATCCTGCTGCACCATATCACAAAAACATTGAAGAACGTTCAAGAAAATCCCTTTGGTCAGTTACACTGAGCTGTAAACAAAACCAAAAATATACATGTACATTAAAGAGTGACATTTTTTTCCTATGCGTTTCCATTTTTTTCCAATAAATAAACTCGCAAGCTAACATGCAGGTATGTGTGAAATAAACATCTGTGATACAGAATTGACATTGATAAGCGTTTATACAGCTCAGGGAATGCAATTTACAGCTTGCAGAAGACTCACACTTTACATGATAGCATTTTACCTCACAATAAATAACACTGCTTCTCTTTGGACAAATATATTTCTCGGTCATAAAAAAAAGATAAGAAAAAAAAAGGGAAAGACACAACATAAGTGAAAACAAAATAACATGATAGACAAGTAAGCCAGACACTGTAAATGTATAAATTATAAAACAGAACACTGTATAAATAAACATCAAGCAGACTGAACTACATGTATACTTCTTTCTTTTTTCTCTGAAAAATAAATTAGCATACACATATGTACAGTGTGGACATGATTCCTTGCCCTAGGACTGTTCTACTGGTTGATGGTGCTTTATCCATCCAGTACAGGTGATAATTGGATATAAGCCATGTAGTCCTGGTCTTCCTCATCGTCATCATCCTCCTGGTCTTCAGTAATGGCTATATGGGAGAATACATGGTAGCTGTTGCATGAATATAGACCACAACAGCGCACACTTTACATGATAGCATTTTACCTCACAATAAATAACACTGCTTCTCTTTGGACAAATATATTTCTCGGTCATAAAAAAAAGATAAGAAAAAAAAAGGGAAAGACACAACATAAGTGAAAACAAAATAACATGATAGACAAGTAAGCCAGACACTGTAAATGTATAAATTATAAAACAGAACACTGTATAAATAAACATCAAGCAGACTGAACTACATGTATACTTCTTTCTTTTTTCTCTGAAAAATAAATTAGCATACACATATGTACAGTGTGGACATGATTCCTTGCCCTAGGACTGTTCTACTGGTTGATGGTGCTTTATCCATCCAGTACAGGTGATAAGCGGATATAAGCCATGTAGTCCTGGTCGTCCTCATCGTCATCATCCTCCTGGTCTTCAGTAATGGCTATATGGGAGAATACATGGTAGCTGTTGCATGAATATAGACCACAACAGCGCAGAATGTACGTGAGTATTTGTCTTTATCCCAAAGCCTCTGACAATCTAGGCTACTTGACAGCTTGATCAGGTGCTCTGGCTCCCAAAATTATGCAACAAGACGTACATAATGAAGGAAGTCAGCGGTGTGACGGGACAGGGCTGATCAGAGGCTTTAATGGCTCAGGTGTGTTTGGCAGATTTCTGAATCAAGACCAAAAAAAGTGCTCTTGCATTCCATGAATGGCTGTTTTTTTTTTCTGGTTTCGTGTCTAAATCCATTACTTTGAATGCACGGGTTGTGCACCGGCCGACCGTAGCTACGTGGTCAAGCAATGGCACAGTTCTGAGGTATATGTAATATAGATATATATTTTCTACATAAAAGTTTACATTGAAAAAATGACACAGGCAAAGCAATGAAACAAATATGCAGTCCCTCACAAACAAATAGGACAACACGACCACAGCAGGACTGCACACACAAATTCACCTGGCTAACGTTAGATGTCTAACAGAAAGCATTGCTCTACTAATAACATATTCTTGTCCTGCAAACTGTAAAATGCTGTAGTCATTCGAATCATGAGGTGATCATAAAGTTGGTCCCTTGAAATGACGAACATGCCTTAAGGCACGAGAACGTTAAGGTAAGCCATTCGTTCGCTAGCACAAATCGGAATGTAAGTATTCCCTCATTGATGGCAGCTCTAGCTTCATCGATCCATTATCGAAGCTAGTGCACCATCTGTCGAAATAGGTAGTCTAGGTAACTTTTAAACAATGGCACCAATGTTACAATCACCTTATGTGAGTAAGGAAAAGGATTCATGTCTTTTCAAACCCTCAGAGCTGTTTATGTCATAGTGCATTTGAAAGAATCGATTACAGCCAAAAGCAGAAATCAAACAAAAAACATCATTCATAAAACTCTTACATGATAACCATGAATATGGAATTGACAAGCCGATATGATATATAAGTCTCTACATTTACACTTTAACAAAGGGGAAATATGACCTCAACCTGCTGGTCAATAGCAGGTCAGACTGAACTAGAATTCGAATGTCACTAACAGCAGAAGTTAGTCCGCACATGTTTTCTTGTTAGTTAAATGAAGAAAATTAGTATGTCAAAGGACTCCTGGAAAGAGCTCTTTGTAACATTTCTTTTTACATTGTATTCATTGATTTCCATTGATTTTTGTGGGTTCTTTATTAAATAAATGTTTTTTGTTTTCTCTTTTCGTTTCATTTTTTTTTTCTTCTCAAGAAAATACAAAATTAATGAAGCCAGTCAAAGAGGACATGCAAAGAACTTCCAATCATAAGACCTTTCTGTAGCTTAACTCTTAGCAGCAGGAAGGAATGAAGAGGCGTTATTTGGAGGGGTGGGAGGTTTTGGGGAGGTGGTTGCTGGGGGCAGCATTGGATTGTCTTTTAAGATGCATTACTTACAGTTGCAAGATCCTGAATGCTTAACCTCCAGGAGAACCCCCAAAGAGCAAGCGGCCTGCTTCATGGTGCACTCGCTGGGATACGTGGTGTTGTCGCTGGCGCACACGGCCTCCTCCGATCGACTTTCTGGGCACGTCTCCATGCAAACTGCACAACGCCCGCGACCCATCTTGGAATCCCATAGACACTTCTTCCCCGCGCTGCACTGGATATCGTCACATGACTTGGCCTCTAAAAAGACAATAGGGGACAATAGCGGTCAGTTTCTTCTGATAACACTTCAGTGTTTCATACGTAGAATTTCATAAACGTGTTTGTTGTTGTTGTTGTGGAGAGCTGTAGGCAAGTCACGCTCAGTTTGTTATGACACACAAGATGATGTTGCCAACATCAGGAAACAGTTAGACGCCAATGACTTTCCTTTGCAAATAATAATCACAATTGAGATTGTCACGAAAGACTAATGGAACTAATGGAATTCATTTGGGATTTCGCCATTGTTGCCTATGCACTCTGAACTGAAAACAAATTCCACCATTTCTCCATTGTCAACTTTTCTCATTTAAATGAAACAAGTCAAATTTATGTTGACACTCACTGATGCATTTCCCTTCATATGCCACTCCAATGGATCTACCAAGCAAGCACGTGGCTCTCCTCAAATGGCACGCGCTGGCGTAAACAATCCCGTCGTTGCCACAAAGGTACTGATCCGGAGACGTAACCTCTGGGCATATGCGGTTGCATGTCACACAGTATGCGTTGTTTGTCTGG